ATGTTGGCAATGTCATTACTCATTATCAACATATCGTCCACATATAAGCAAACAATGATTATGTGATTTGGAACATTTTTAATGTACACAAATTTATCACATTCATTTATCTTAAAATCATTTGACAACATTGTTTGGTCAAATTTCGCATGCCATTGTTTGGGTGCTTGTTTTAGTCCGTAAAGGGACTTAACAAGTCTACATACCTTCTTTTCTTTACCTGGAATCACAAACCCTTCAGGTTGTTCAATGTAGATTTCTTCCTCCAAATTTCCATTGAAGAAGGTCGTCTTAACATCCATTTGATGAATTTCAAGACCATACACTGCAGCTAATACTACTAACATCCGTATGGACGTAATTCTTGTAACTGGGGAATATGTATCAAAGTAGTCAAAACCTTCTCGTTGTCTATACCCTTTGACTACAAGTCTTGTCTTAAATTTATCAATAGTGCCATCATCTTTCATTTTTCTCTTAGCAATCCATTTAGAACCCAGAGGCTTATTTCCAGGAGGAAGATCAACCAATTCCCATGTATAGTTGTTCAATATGGATTTTATTTCACTATTGACTGCCTCTTTTCATAACAATGATTCCGAAGAAGACATAGCTTCTTTAAATGCTCGAGGCTCATTTTCCAATAAGAAAGTCACAAAATTTGGTCCAAATGAAGTAGACGTTCTTTGACGTTTACTACGTCTTGGATCCTCCTGATTAAATGTACTTTCTTTTGTTTCTTCCCGAGGTCGTTTAGATCCTTCACCAATCAACTCACATTCCTTTTTATATGGATATATATTTTTAAAGAACTCAACATTATCTGATTCTATAACCGTATTATTTTGAATGTCGGAATTTTTCAATTTATAAACCAGAAATCTATAACCGTACTCTCGGTTCTCTAATTTGACAAGGTAGTTAACCAAAAGGTCCCTCTTTTTGTATTCTTGATCGCAAAACTTTTCACACTCGATATTTACGTCATATCATACAAATATATTTCGTTCATAAACATTAATCACTACGAACATGTCTTTCATCATGATTGAATGATAGGATTGTTACTTTATATTTTAGTTGCTTAAATTAAATTCCTTGATTTGTTGTAAACATCAGAAGAATTTACCATTACCAATTACCTCACATCACATTATTAGATTTATTTGCTCAAACTCAAATTAATTTAGCTTGCCTAAAGTTCCAACCGTGTAAGCTTTAACGAGGTTTTGTACCAAAATTTGCTTTTAAAGGTTTTTTTTTTTTATATTTAAATTTGTGATCTAAATATTTATATGGCTATTTCGTTAATGATTTAATACAAAATTTAAATTAAAATATTTCTAAATATAAAAAAAATGTAATTCTTTTGAGTGCTACAGAAAATGGAAAGAAGGGATCGGATTAGTATTTATATGTGTTCTCACCTTACATACAATTACTAGATAATGAAGTTGCAAGAAATCTGGCACATGAACAATCCAGTCATAATATTACCGGAATACTATATAGTCTTCCCTCAATCTCATCTCACAAATAAGAAGGGGGAAAAAGTGAAAAAATGAATTGTATATCACCCTCCTGAATTCACAGCAGAGCAGGGGCGGACCTAGGTTGGTAGTTGAGGGGTCACGTGACCCCGTTAGCTTCGGCAAAAATTCTGTATATACATATTATATATGTGTGTATTTATTCACGGGACCCCTTAAATATTTTAATGGTGCCCCAAACACAAAGTGATTGATAGAAGAAGTGGTTGTTTTGGGCACTTAAATTCTCTCCTACGCTATGGTGACGCGGGTTCGAAACTATCCAAAGCTTTCCTCAGTCTGTCTCCTTTTTTTATTTTAGTTCTTTGAATACAATGTAATTTTTATTTAATAACAAATTACTTTATTTTTACTTTAATCTTCTTCTTTTCTTAATATTCAATTATAGTTTAGTACTAATACAAAATATAGTTAACTTAATTAATTTTATTCTTTTTTGTAAATTCCTTCCTTAGAATTGAAAGCCTCAAATTGCAGCTTACCGCTCCACAAATTAGGGGTGGGCATAAAATCCGAAAAATCGAATTCCGAACCGAACCGAACCGAATTAATTCGGTATTTCGGTTTCGATTTTTTCGGTATTTCGGTCTAATTCGGTATTGCAATTTTAGTATTTCAGTATTTCGGTACGGTCCTCGGTATTAGACATTTGGAATTTCGGTATACCGAAATACCGATTTTTTTAAAGACATTTTTCTAATTTTCTTATTGACCCAGTGAACTCCCCAGCCCAACGCCTAAGCCCAAAGCCCCAGCCCACCCTGTCTAAAGTTAATTTTTTCATCATTCATTAGGTTAGGGCATTAGGCTATTAGACAAAGCAGCAAACGAAGAGTCGAAGAGACGAAGATGCTCCATTCCTCAATTCCTCAGTCCGATTCCTCAATTTCTCAGTCCGATTAGGCGATTTCCGTCTTTCCGAGCTCCGATTAGGCGATCCTCAGTCCTCAGTCCTCACAAATTCTGGGCAAACGAAGACGCTGCTGTTGCGAACTTGCGATAGTTTCAATTTTCAAAGGTATGTTTGTACTTTCTAGCGATTTCTACTTTCTAGCGAACTGGCGAACTTGCGATTTCTCATATACACTCAATTACTATGGCTGATTCTTGTTTCTACCAATTTTATTTTTCTTAAAAACATTCTTGTTTAGTCTTGTTAATCTTATTGTTGCTGACTTGCTATTGATGTTTTTTCTTTTTTTTTTAATCCAAAAGGGTATATCATGGATTTATTTTCTTGGTTATTTATTTCCATTTTGTTTCATTTTTGGTGCTTTGATTCAGTTCAAGGACAAACACATCCTCCTCAAGTTGCACTAAAGAATTTCAGTGTGGAAACTTAGGAAATTAGTTGTTGTTCCATTCTAACTTATGATTTATATTTTTTTTAGGTTCAAGTGCAATCATGCCCCGTGCTCCTAAAGTACGCTTCGATATTTGGGAACACTTTGAGGTGAAAGAAGATAAGTTCGCAAAGTAGAGTGCAAACATTGTGTCAAGTCTATAATGTTAATCCAAAGAGGAATGGAACAATTGGTTTAAGGAAGCATATTAAGCGTTGTCTTGCGCGTGTTCCTGAAATCCGTATTTAAGAATTAAGATTTAAGACTGTTTTTGTTGAGGGATGCCCTCTCTATTTAAGTTAATTCTGCTACAGCTGCTGCATCTGTTAAGTGTTAATTTCGGTAAGATTGCTGCATCTGTTGCACCTTGATAATTTATTATTTTTATTGTTAATTTTGTTAAGCTGCTGCATCTGTTGGTTAAGACTGCTGTTGTATCTGTTGGTTAAGACTGTTTTTGCATCTGTTAATTGGTAATGCAGCCAGTAGAGTAGCTATTTAGGTGCTGCATCTGTTGCATCTTTGTCTTTGAGCCTTTGAATTTTGAAATTTGAATTGTGCATACTGCACTGTTGCACAAAATTGTGCACTTGTTAAAATGGCCTGGTTTGGAAAGATTTAAATAATTGTGGACTTGAGTAATAATGGCTATGGTTTTTATTTATTTATAGATGGATAGAAAATGATATTGTTAATGGCTTCTTTAGCCTTTTTAGCTTTTGCTTAGGTGCAGTTACATTAGACTGCTGCTGCATCTGTTGAAAAGATATTGTTAAGCTGCTGCATCTGTTAGTTAAGACTGCTGCTGCATCTGTTGGTTAGACTGCTGCTGCATCTGTTGGAAAGATATTGTTAAGCTGCTGCATCTGTTGGTTAAGACTGTTGCTGCATCTGTTGGTTAGACTGCTGCTGCATCCGTTGGAAAGATATTGTTAAGCTGCTGCATCTGTTGATTAGACTGCTGCTGTATCTGTTGGTTAAGACTGCTTTTGCATATGTTAATTGGTAATGCAGCCAGTAGATTAGCTATTTAGGTGCTGCATCTGTTGCATCTTTGTCTTTGAGCATTTGAATTTTGAAATTTGAATTGTGCATACTGCACTGTTGCACAGAATTATGCACTTGTTAAAATGGCATGGTTTGGAAAGATTTAAATAATTGTGGACTTGAGTAGTAATGACTATGGTTTTTATTTATTTATAGATGGCTAGAAAAGGATATTGTTAATGGCTTCTTTAGCCTTTTTAGCTTTGGCTTAGTTGCAGTTACATTAGACTGCTACTGCATCTGTTGGAAAGATATTGTTAAGCTGCTGCATCTGTTGGTTAGACTGCAACCAGTAGATTAGCTATTTAGGTGCTGCATCTGTTGCATCTTTGTCTTTGAGCCTTTGAATTTTGAAATTTGAATTGTGCATATTGCACAGAATTGTGCACTTGTTAAAATAGCCTAGTTTGGAAAGATCTAAATAATTGTGGACTTGAGTAGTAATGGGCCATGGTTTTTATTTATTTATAGATGGCTAGAAAATGATATTTTTAATGGCTTCTTTAGCCTTTTTAGCTTTTGCTTAGCTGCAGACCTGCAGTTACATTAGAAACTAGAAAGTGACAGAACTATTACTAGTGTAAATTTACCAGCCTCAATTGGTTCTTAAAAACCCTAATTAAACAATCTGAATGGGTCTTGGTTAAACCGAAACCGTACCAAAACTATACCGAACTAAAATAAGAAATACCGAACCGTACCGAAATAATTTAGTATGGTATTTGATATACACAATCGATAAACCGAATACCGAAATACCGAACCGAAATTCTTAAATACCGAACCTAAATATCGAATGCCCACCCCTACCACAAATAGAAAAATACAATCTTCTCCCACAATCTTTTTTAACAATCACTTTGAATTGGCAATGGAAACTAAGAGTTTGAGACTTTCTTTAATTCTTTTAGTAATACATACTCTTAATCTTAATTCCTTTAGTAAGACTTTTATAATTTTACGTTTGAACGATCTTCCCGTTTAGTGCGTTCTTTTTCTTTAGAACTTCTTTTTGTTAATACTTGATGATAAGTCATCATAATCATTAAGTTTCAAAGAGTTACATGCCGAATTTTATCGCTGGTGATTAGCATATACAGAATCCTGGTCCGCAGCAGAGTACATGCATGACTAGACAAGAATAACGAATTTCTATCTTAGAATTTTAGTTTTTTTTTCAAAAAAATTAATAGGGAATGATAGTCTCGAAACAGTGGACACCATCCAATTCCAGTGCAAACCTCTGCCTCTTCTGCTTCTGTTGGCACGAAGATGACGGCAGCGGCGATGCCTCTCCGCCCTTCTTCAGACCACCGGTTGAGGAAGTAGACGGCGGAGAAACACCACCAGTCTTGCGATCTGATACAAGAGGGCCAACCCCTTTTTGCTGTTGTTTTGTTTCAGTACTAGTTGCCCAAAAAGAGGTCACTTTTTGCCCAAAAACTTCAGCAGAGAGAACATCAAAGGAACTGAATATAGACATCAACATCGTTGGTGTTTAATTGCTTCTAACTTGGAAAACAAATGGAGTTAACAAGACGAAACTGAAAGTATTGTTTTGTAGGTTTGGTTATGTAACGAGTGTTTTCAACTTTGTGTGCGAAGAAAAGAGGACGCAGGAGGAGGAGTATATATAGGGGGTGGATTAAAGAAATAGAAGATCCTTTCCCAAGTAAAATTGGCAAGATCTGGAAGTGGACATAGGGAAAGAAAATTTCCACTATTCACCAATTCGTTGAATTGGTATGCAACTTTGGACTTAGATGGCCGGTGGGTAGGCCAAGGAACTTCGAAAACTAACACGTTGATATTTTGGGTCTATTATTATTTGTTAAACGACATGACATGATGTATATCTTCTGGATTTAACTGGAGGTTGTTTAGTTCTAGTTATTATTCATTTAATAATAATGGGTATAAAAGGAAATACGCATAGAAACATGTCATGTTTTTCCTGGTTTGAGGATGGAAGCGTGTCCTTTTACCCCTTTTTTGGAGCATGTTAGTTGCTATTGTTAAGCGAAAGAGTGTCTCACTCTCGATCTGCGTATAAGATCGGACCAAATTATAGAGAAAAAATAAGGTACGAGATGTAATTATTATAAAGAAAATGTAGGGTAAATGATAAAATATAATTATTTAATAATATGAAAGGGCAAGATAAGAGAAAAAAAAGAAGGAGCGATGCGACCACATCAAATCGATTGTTCCATAAAGTGGTACTTTAGTCGTTATGTAACGACGAATTTAACGATACGATATAATTAAATTTAAAAAACAATCAAAACAAACATAATATTTAAAATAATAATACAATACAAAAATAGAAAGATCTGATTTTTATGCAATTAGATTTATAGAAAAATATGATTAATTATAGTCAATATCAATATTCAATGACTGATCTAACACTTTCAAGGCATATAATATTACATAAGACTATCTTTGAGCAATGATGGAGCAATAAAGACTAATAAATGTAAAAGGTAGCGACAAATAATAATAAATGACTTTTAGATAGTAAATAAGACAAAGATTACCCGATAAAGATGAAGTCTTCAAATATACTCTCTAACAATGATGGATGATGACAAGCAAATATATATTCATAGTGTTATTGGATCGGGAGAGATAAGTAAATGAAAAGAAGTGTAAAGTCAAGCTTCGTTTCTATTCAATAAAGTGAGAATCTTGCACCGAAAATGTTGATGATATTCTTTACAAAAGGTCTGATCCCCCATTTGGTCTACATCTCTTTCTATTTATAAGAGCACATGTGTCACAAAACCCTAGATAGTACAACAAAAAAGAATATCCGTTAAGAATATTCTCTAGGGAATCGAAATCCTATAACTGGTCATCACTTCGTACCGAAGGCGGATGCTCGTCCTCGTCTTCTGTTAAACCATCTCGACCTCGACAACGATTTATCTTCCTCACCTGACCACGACCTTTTGGGTTCAGGTTGACACATCACAACCTTCAAAGGCTTTATCGCCGTTGAACGGGTCAAATACATAAAATGAAGTTTTTCACCCATATAGTTAGTCCCTCCGCTTGTCGAGGTCATCCTCAGGGACGAGCTTGATAAATGGATAATAATGGTCGTGGTCATCGTTAGAGGCAGATGACTTGGCATTACGGGGCCGCATATTTCTAACTTATGTCGTCTTGAATTTTTAGGTGACCTTTGGAGAGAACCTGACGTGGATAGGATGTTATGTCATTCGTCATGATGACATCGGTTCCCGATGCATCACGTCACACGTGTAGTTCGTGGATTGGCTGCCATTTTTCCTGTGGCTGTAATCATGACAAGTTGCTTCGAATCCCAAGGTCCCTCCTTTAAAAGTAGGGATGACACTGCAATTCGAATTCTTTCTTTACTCCCATTGCCAAAATTTTCTTCATCTTTTTCTCACACTCTTTTTCTCTGCTCATTATTCCTAAAGTTTTCCTCCATTTTCTCAACTCTTTCCCTTTCTGAATTCCCCGAACTTCACAATCATGTCTAACTTGCCTTCTGATGTTCTTGGTGGAGAAGATTCTGGTACAAATGAGGAGATTCCGGCTACCCCACTGGTTGTTCGGCCTCCGTTATCGGAGGAGATGCCACCACTATAAGCAGAGGCTCTTCCCTCAGTAGAAGAAATTATTCCTCGCAACTCCGAAGTGAAATCAAACTTGCAAAGGTAGCCGGAGGTGGTGGCTGAGGTTTTCTAATCCTCTCTAACGGCCAAGCATTTAAGGGAGTTCATGGCTAAGTATGACCTTCCTAACCAAGTGGAGCTCGTACCCACCGGTGATGATGAAGTGTACACTCACCGTCGTGTACTATGTTCTTTTTTCCTACCCTTTCACCATTGGCTATTCATTTCATCTTCCCCCTTTGGTGGAGGAATTTTGCCGTTATTACCGGGTCTATCGGCTCAGCCCGCGCCCTTGGTCTACAAGGTAATCAAGATGCTATCCAAGTTTGCCGAGCTGGATGATGTTGAGATCACTCTGCAGTATTTGGTGCACCTGTTCATGCCCAACTTCTATCGGTGCACGATGCTGAACATTAGGCATCATGGAAGCAAATCCTTAGTCGTTAAGATGGACGACAATGGTAGTCGACAATTTAGGCTTATCTTCTTTTTTTTTGTAAAGAACGAGTCTGTCATGGCCGATGTCACGGACTTCCCTAAGTCTTGGAATCGTGCATGTAAGTATTTTCGTTTATCTGTTCTCTCATGCAATTGTACGTTTTGACTTCGTGAGTTAATTCTTCTTGTTTTGCAGCGACTTCTCAGAGTCTTCAATTGGTGGCGCACCTTGCTGATTGGGTCAAGTAGGTCATTCCTTACACTGTAGGAATCCGAGATTGGTCGAGCTTATGGAAAAGGAACCCACTCTCCCTCCGAAACGTAATATCAGTACGTCATTTTTAGACGGTGTTGTGTTTATACTCGTTAATCTAGTGTGCTAATCTTTATACTTCTTTCTAGGCCCCACCAAGGAGGTTCCTAAAAGGGACCTGGTGTCGACACCCTCTTTCTGGAGAAGAAGGGGTGTTGTTTCCTCTACTCCTACCTTTGTTTTGAATGCTAAGCCCGCTCCTCCCTTGGCTCCTTCCTATGTTGAGGATGAGAAGATTCCCCCTCTTGGCATGGACACGAGGCCCCGGAAGAGGAAGGTCGTATATAGGGGAGCTAGTGTGCCAGTGACGGTTGACTTATTTGAGGACGAGGTCATTGTGTAAGATACTACGATGATGGATGATCGTCCTCGTCTTCTGTTAAACCATCTCGACCTTAACAATGATTTATCTTCCTCACCTGACCACGAACTTTTGAGGTCAGGGTGACACATCACAGCCTTCAAAGGATTTATCGTCTTGACTGAGTCAAACACATAAAATAAAGCTTTTTGCCCATACAGTTAGTCTCTCCACTTATCGCGATCATCCTCAGGAACGGGCTTGATAAGTGGATAATAATGGTCGTGGTCATCTTCAGAGGCAGATGACTGGTGTGGCCGCATATTTTGAACTATTGTCGTTTTGAATTTCCCGGGTGACCTTTGGGGAGAACCTGACGTGGATAGGACGTGACATCAGTCATCATGATGATGTCAGTTCCCGATGCATCACATCAGGAAATGTGTAGCTCGTGGATTGGCTATAATCATGACCAGTTACTTCGAATCCCAAGGTCCCTCCTTAAAAAGTAGGGATGATCACCGCAACTCGAATTATTTCTTTCCTCCTATTGCCAAAGTTTTCTTCATCTTCTTCTTAGACTCTCCTTCTGTCACGACCCAAACCGATGGGCCGCGACGGGTGCCTGAGTCCTACCTGTCAAACACCTCTAAGCATGTGTCTAAGATATGAACCTGAACATCTGCTGCATTACAAAAATAACACACGTGAAAGAAACCTACCATCAAGGCATATGTACGTATACATGCAGGATATAGTGGGCGAGCCGGCAAGGCTGCTATAGACAACTATACATCCAAAACTGAAAGCCGATAAGGCCACATACAACCCAATTAGACATAATATCTACAGACCTCTAATAGAAACATTACTGTACAAAGACGGGACCGAGCCACGTTATACCCATATATATATATATATATATATATATATACAAACGTATCGTACCAAAATCAAAGCAGCTCCGGATCAAATGGAACACGCCAACTCTCGCTGATCAGGGATCCTAAGAAGGGGGACCGTCAGCTTGCCTACCTGCACCTGTGGGCATGGAACACAGGCCCTGTGAAATAGAGCATCAATACGAAAAATGTACTGAGTATGTAAGGCATGAAAATTAGTACATAAAAGACATAGATGAAACATGGAATACGTGAATACCTTTAAAACTGAATAACTTTGTAAATTCTGAAATGTTTATAATGTCATGCACGTGCGTATAAATATCGTGCCATGCATAGGTATGGGTGTACATAATATCATCAAGCCACTGAGGGCATCCCATCATATCGTCTCGGCCACTATGGGCACATCATCAATATATACTAGCTGATCAGGTGGTGGTACGTATATAACGCCGTAACCTTTTCCCATATCCCATATACATATATTTACGTATATACGCGTATATAATGCCATCTGGTTATGGGTCAATACACATATATAAATGGGTGAAATGCATGAAAAATACGTAATAATCTCAATATTCTTTACGGATAAACTTTTCCAACTGCGTATTATTCTGAGACCCATGAACAGAAGATAATAATATTTTCATGGGGAATCAAAATATAAACACCCCTCCTATTTCTATGAATAGTGTAATTTATGAAAACTGTGTGTTTGCTTATTTCTTCAGTATAATTTGGACCATGCCAAAAGAAAGAAGGGAGGACCTTAACATACCCGCCTTTTGAATTATTTGAATGAATCTGCTTCTGCGAAATATGAATGAAATTACACTTGAATTCCTTGAAATCTTGGACCAATTTGTTCTGCTTCTAGCGTTTTTGGCTTGGATTGAAAATGAAATTTTGGACGAAATATTTTCTGCTCAACGTTCTTGGTTTCAAAACCAAGAACAGATTTGTTGTCTTGAATGAAGACTTCTTAGCTTCTAACCTTTCCAATTAAGAAAGAATTCCTTGTTGTTTCCTTTCTGAAGACTTGGACATGTATCTTACTTGTGGATAATGATTAAT